TATATATTTTTTTCTGGTGAAAATGTGTATTATTTTTGAATATCATTTTTAATGATAATCGACAAATATCTAAACTTTTGTTCCAGGATTGTTTTCGTCGAATAAAATTTTAATTTGGAATACATATTTATGAGAAATTAAACCAATTTTTTTGGTTATATGAATAATTCGTTCTATATCTTAGTTTGATAATATAAATGTTTTTCCCAATATACTTTTGGAGGTTCTATTAAATAAAGGTAAATATATATAACAATTCATAAATATATTTTAATTAAATAATATTTGATATTATACAAGGATATTTTTAATAGTTACTACGTTAGAAGAAAAAGGGAAGTTTAAGAGTTAATTTTTAACCATGTCACTTAATCGATAAGTATTTGATCAGTTCGAGCATTTTACACTTGAACATCCTTCGATATATTAATGTATTATTAGATGATTTCACCCTTCTAGAACAGCCATTATACCCATATATATAGAATCAGAATCTTAGATCCATAGTTTAAAAACAATAAGGGTTCTGATATTCAAGCTTGAAATACTTTCGCAAACTAACATTTCATTTCCAAAAAAAACAAATCAATATATAATTAAATTTTTATAACCAACAAAGTTTGTTTTAATAAACTTTCTGCGGTTTTACGAATTTATAATTTACATTAACTCATTATAACCATGATTTAAAATGGAAAGATTCTGAATTCACATTGATTCCATATTACAATACGACATATATACTAATAACAATCTTAAACTTTCCTTATGGCATGATAAACCATTATTATTATAAATTCACCCAGCATGGTAAAAATAAAACATTTTAACTAAATGATGAAAAATCAAGGTATTATTTTATTTTAAAAGAGATTACTTTGGAAACATCAATAAAAAGATTATTTTTTCCCCTTGGATAATTGCTTAAAAGATCAGCAATAACTCTTCATTTGTAAACGTTCTTTTTCCTCTTTAAAGCGCCTTAAAATAAATATGCGAGCTCGATTATGAGACCGGAACGTTCTAAGCCCGTTGGCTTTTAAGAAAATAAATGAGTTCAAAAAAAATTATCACTCATTCACGACAAATTTTAAACAGAATCAGAACAAACTAATTATAAATAGCACCTGAAGTGTTAAAAGTTTTAAGAACTGGATCTAACCATAAATCTTATCCATTAACAATTCTGTAACATCTCTTAAACTAATAGGCAATTAGTTGGTCAATACGATAGGCGTAGCCAGGATTTTGTTAATCGTATTTTAATAACTTTATTAATTTTTTTTAATTATAAATATCGTATACGAAAAGACTTTTGTATATTTAGGGCTTTGCTTCATATCCCTAAGTCATTGGCAAATTTTTTATAAACTATACAATCATTTATAATGTTCGTTTTAAATTTTGAAATACTCGATTTTGCTGGAGGCGTATCACGTAATGTAGAGAATACTTAACTTAGGCCTTGTTTATAATAAACGTGATTCGCTTAAATCATCGCTGGATAATTTACTAAAGTCAAGTAAATTTCAGGTATATAATTTATGACTGAATGATGCTATGAAACGAGTTAGATTGCTATAATGAAATCAAAAATCCTATGTTCGGATGCGATTCGCTTCCGCAAATCGCGCTTACTACTTGACCTTTCTAAAATTTCCCTTAAATTTTTGAATTTACTTAATTTATTAAAATTCACGGCTAAATTGTCGTAAATCAAAACATTTTATTAATACTTATTATAATATAACAAAAAATGCCAATCATTTTTATGAGCATCACATGTATTTAAAAATTAAGTACCCCCTAAATAATAACTATAATAGTCAGTAATGTATCTCTACCTAAATTTTAAAAAATAATGTCTACACAAGTAAAATCTAAAAAGAGTAAATAATTTTAAAAATTAAGATCCATCTAAGTTAAATAACACAAAAAATGTCATTTTGTAAAAGAATAGTCAAGCTTAATATCAAACTCCGAGATTTCTTGATTTAAATCGTATTTTTATTATTTTTTTTATAGACAAAAATATTTCATAAAAATCTAAGAATATGCAAATAATAATGGACGATTATTTCTTTATTCTAAATTTTGGAGAAAATTTAATCAAATAAATTAAAAATTCCCTTGTGCTCCTTTTTGCCCTTATTATACGTTGAAGATATGGGTGTAGGCGTATCGATATTGTATTCCGAAAAAATGGGATTGGAATAGAATATATCGGAGAACTGCCACCAATTATAATTCTTATCATATTTAAACGCGTACGCATCGCTAGTCGACGAAAGGTCATTTAAATACGCTAATTGGCTCTTAAGAGTAGCATCGTCAAGTTCATCCTTAAAAGATGTCGGGCTTTTGAGCTCTGTGGATGCTGTTCGCATATATTCACTATGATAATAATTCATAATCTCATTCCAAACCTGGTCTTTTTCAATGAACATACGAAATAAGAACTTATAAAATTTATCGTTTTTTATGTAAAGAAGGTAGTGCGAATAAAATGGTTCCTTCTTGAATCTTGCCACGTCTTTTTTTTCGCAATCAAATTCCCAGTGGCTGAAATCCCAATGGTAATACTTACTGGCTTTATAACGGTAATGACAACTTTTATGAAAACAATATTGCGCGTTATGTTCCCCTCCGTACCAATAAGGTATATGTTTTAATCCAATTTCCGGCCAATACGATAATTTATTTAAGGAGTTAATTTTAGACGCCATGTTTTCTAGATCCGTTCTGCTAAAAAAGGGTTTGAGCACGCTTTCCCCTTCCTCATTTTCATTTGAGGATAATCCACTGCTGTCTTCAGTAGGCGAATTATCGCCATTCGGAGAGGTATTGGGCGAATTACTCGATTTGCTTTTAGATTTTTTTAAATTAAGAATTTTTTTTAATCTGAAAAGGCAAAGTAATAATAACGTAATTGCTGCTATAGTCAATAATATAAAGATCAAAATGGTTTGATTTTATTGGGATGATTTTGATATGATATGATTGCAATAATATTAAAATGGCTTTTAAATTGTATTGTATTTGTAATTATGTTAACATTAGATAAACTTTTCTAAAATAAGAATGTGATATTTGGAATCATTTTTTTAAAAAAATATTTTATATAATTAAATTCTGTGATTAATTTTTTTTAGATCAAAATTTTTTTGGATCATATAAAGTGCAGTATAAAGAATAAGATCGATGCAGCAAGAACCACTTTTCGCCTATAAATACTATACAGTACAAATAGGAATCATAATAAATAAATTATATATAATTTAGAAATAACATTTCACGTTTTTATGGTTAGCGAAATCGTTTGACGCAGACCAGATGTTTAGAACTTCTATATTCTGGTATGATGCCAATTTTTTTTTCTTATATTACTAATAATTTTTTCCCCCTTTAAAACAACATTGTCCTAAATTAGAATTAGTGCTTCCAATTGTTCGGCCAAAATGGAGATAATATAAAAATATTTCTAAAAATCAAAATAACCACGGGACAATCAAAAAAACGAAGGCCAAGTCAAATAAGGGATAATAGGTAAAGCGCAAAAAATGGTAATCCACCCTACCCTCTTGGACAATGGTTACCTGCCGATCGAAAAATAATTTCATCAAAAAAAACTTACATACTTATTATTTGTGTTTATATATTTGTTGATTTAAAATCCATTTTAAAATTGCAATTTCTGTTAAAAAACAATATGTCTACTTATTAACATAAATTCGAACCGAACCCGGAGAAGAAAACCCTGGTTTTTGGAAAAAATTTGAACCCGAAACGAACCTGAACCCCGTTTATAAAATTTTACCCCGAACTGAACCTGGGAACTTTATTTGAACCCGAATTCAACCGGGTTGAGTGTATTGTTAAAATCATATATTAAGATATTTGTATAATTGTAAATACAAATATTAATGATTTAATTGAAATTTTATGTCAAATTTCCAATAAAGTGAAGTGTTAATAATTTTAAACAACTATTCATTTATGCCATTTTTTAATTTTTTTAATTTATTCACAAAGATTCCTATTGTGTTAATAAATTTTAAACAATTATATTCATTCACGCCATTTATTTTTAACTTATTCTCAAAGATTATTAATTAGAGGAAAATGAAAGTGAACAAGTCATAAATATAATAAAAAATTTATTTTTTATACCAAATTTATGTCTAGTTTTTTAATTATGATTTAAATATAGGTTTTTTTTGTATTCAAAAATTCTTCAAGCTAAACCAGGGTTCAAAAATATTTCCACCGAACTCTTATTTTTAACATTAACCGAACCCGCGCAAAAATTTTGCCGAATTCGCATCCCTGCTTCTTAACTTCGATTTCGAGCTCATTGCAGATGCAAATATAAGATTTTAAAATGGCAGTTTTTTAGTAAAAAGCTATTTATAATATTTAATAATTCCTAAGAATAATCATGAATGAAAAACATATATTATGAAAAATAAAATTTGGTATAATATTTATGCAATATTTTTTAGGGGGTGCAAAGGACTTTTTAGAGATTTTTTTGACTTCGAGACCTATTTAGACTTTTGAAAAGAAACTCAGGGTTGACAATTAGGATTACCATGCCTCAAGAAGACAATATAATGAATTGTAATTTTTAAAAGTTGGAGTAAATGTATGAGTGGTAATTAATGTAATCCATATCATTTCTAATTAAATAAATAAGTAAGCGTATTGAATTAGTATTTAATTTATTAACGGTATTATTATTTTATTATTCTGTATATTACATTTGATAATTTTTGAAAATATCCTTAATTAAATAGGCCAATCAATTTATTTATTTTATCCGAGATTATAATGAAATCTCCTGAGTAAGGATTTAAAAAATTAAATTTCTTGTCAATTTTTTTTATAATCTTTCCTAATTATATTTTTAGAAATAACAGTATATATACTGATTTGTCACAATGTGAAAAATCAGAGTGGACCTTTATTTATTGTCAAAATAAAATCATTAGTGAACACTGGAAATATTATGTGTAACGAGGTATATTATTTTTAATTATAACATGTAATCAAAATATTTAATATTATAATTTTTTCCAATGACTATATAAAAATATTCAGTTAATAAATATTATAAATTTTGGTAAAAAAATAATATAAAATGCAAAAATTAAGGTAATTTTTCGGAGATAAATTTTTTAACATCTTCCATTTCTTTTTCATCTGATCTATGTTCAATTGGGTAACTATGCAATTGTATATTTGGATTAAATTTTTTAATTTCGTCGTGTGTTCTTTGCCCAAAATGGTAATTTACTACATTATCCATTTTGCCGTGGGCCTGGAATATAGGAATATCTTTATTCTCCGCTGATAGTTCCTATCAATTTATAATTTAAAAAAATGCATAATATTAGTTTAAAAATTTTTTGGGTGGAGTAATTTGCATGTTCTGTTTATATTAAGCCATACTTGTAAACTCTTTAGGAAGACCAATAAGTATTAGCTTAATCTAGACTTCAAATCAAAAATAAAAACAAATTTTAAAAATATTTAATTTTTTTTTCGAATTGAAATTGTAATTACTCAATTTAAAATATTGAATTTTAAAAATTATTCTCTCCTGTATTTAGCGTTGCTTTTAACTCGATTTTGGCCAAAAAATATCTTATCAAATCTTCGAGATGCAACTAATTTTTTTCTAGAATAATCTAAGGGCGCGTAAATATATTCGATTTTAGGTGAACCTAGATTAATATATTTATTTTAGAATTTGAAATGTGGGAATTAATATTATTTATATATAATATTTCAATTGGTTAGTTTGTCCAAATTAGTGTTGTTAAACGACTCGAATTAGTCAATTTTAAATTAATATGCAGATCATTCCTCACCCATATATATTTTTAAAAGTTAAATGAAAAATATAACTCTTTTAACATTTAGAATTTAAATGACTTGTCCAAAATATATAAATACTAAAAAAAAAGATTTTTAAAAAATATTTAACTCAATCCAAAAGAATGACAATATTACCTCCTTCAAAATTTTTATCCATAACTCCATTCTAAAATGTTGCCCCCCCCCATGACTTTCCTCCTATCAAATAAGCTCTGCCCTCTTCCTCTAATTTTATTCATAACCACCATCCCTCTTCTAGTATTTTTAAAGATGATCTGGTATCTTATAATTATTTGGATATTGAAAATTTTATTTAATCATGCATAAAATTATAAAAAAATTTACCACGTAATTAGATTAATATATATATAAACTTAGATAAATTAATATTAGTGATATGTTAATGGACTGTTCTATTTGTTGATATATAATTGACATTTATAGACGTTTTTCAATTGATTTCGAATAAGAGATATATAACATATTTTTTATCTTTGTTATTTTTAGATCATGTGACATTATTATATAGTGATATATTTATGGATATAGCTAAGGAAATCGATGCTGATATGAGGTGCAATAAACTCTATGATGCCTATAAAAAATTAAAAAAATTTCAAAAACCCTCCAATTTTAAACCTTTGCCCAAACTGAAAGTTAATAACAATATTATTCGTGACCCAGACGATCAAATAAATTTATGGCTTGACCATTACTCTTTAATGTTTAACTCCGAACTCCCTTAACCGCCTCTGGGTGATAACCTTCTCTCCTCAAGGTCAAATTTTACCACGTAGGAGATAAAAGGGCTATTATGAAACTAAGAAATAATAAAGCCGCCGGACCAGATGGAATCAGAGCGGAACACTTAAAAGTTTCGCCTGATTATATCTCTACCTTTCTATTAATCATTTTTAATAAAATCTGGACTTCCGGCATTACTCCAAAAGATTGGAACCTGTCATTTATATGTAACTTCCCGAAAACTCCAAACCCACTCGTCTTTGATGACTATAGAGCTATTGCACTTACCTCTATAGCATCTAAAGTTTTTATGGTGTTAATAAAAAATAGAATTCTTTCTTCCACTAGACATCTACTATCCAACAATATCTGTGCGTACAGACCGGGGCGGAATATCTTGCAACCAATTCTTGCATTAAAAGTTACTTTACAAAAAAGTTATAGGTACAAACTACCACTTCTGTTTATCTTTGTAGATTTCCGAAAAGCTTTCGACAGTATTAAATACGAAGTATTATGGGAAATTCTGGCTGAGAGTGGGATTGACCTAAATATTATAAAAATCCTTAGAAATCATTACTGTTCTCTTTTTTCTTCTTTTAAAATCGATAACGTTCAATCTACTTCCTTCAGAATACGTAAAGGCGTTAAACAAGGATGTGTCTTGTCACCAATCCTATTTAATATAATCATGAATAAAATCATCGCCGACACTTTAGGGGCTTTTAATTTACTCAATCTATCCTCTAGGGATGATCTTTCCCTGAAACATCGCATAATCTATTATGCTGACGATATAGTTATCACTACCAAATCATTAGAAGAATCTTGCGACATTTTGAATATACTAAAGACATATAGTGAGAAAACTGGATTAACTATTAATCTAAATAAAACCGTTGTTATGCCTTCCCCGTGGGCAGATGTCGACCCAAATCGTTCCTTTGATTTGTTAGGATTAAAATTAGTACATGAATTCAAATATCTGAGGGTAAATCTAGATAATAAGGGCCACATAAAAAATGAGGTTGAAATGAGGTTAAAGCATGCCAAATTCGTTTTTTATAAATATTTTAAACTATGGAACGCCAGAGAAATATCTGTAAAGAGTAGACTTCAAATGTTTAATTCTATAATTATACCCATTTTATTATATGGTGGTGACACTTGAGACATAAATAAAACACAAACTAAGAAACTTCAGGTCTTTATAAATAGATGTCTAAGGCTTATAAATGGGTATATTTATCCCAAAATTATTACCAACTGTTTATGGAGACTCTCGAGACATGCTCCTGTTTCAGTTACACTAAAGAGACGAATTCAACTTTTTGCACACATAATTAGGAACCAAGAAGACAACTTAGCATATGATGCTCTTAGTTGGCTTCCATCCAATAAGAATAAAAGATACTGCAGCTACAGATCCTATTGGTTAAATAAAACTATTTCAGATATATTGCATCTAAATATCAGCTTAACACAATTTGTCCACATAAACAATAACAAAAACTCTATTAACAAACTTCTCAAATTAAAAACTAACTTCCTTCTGGAACATTAAATTAATTCGTATCATCTTTGGACATTCCTATGACATTCCTTTTTTAGCGTATCATCTTTGGACATTCCTTTTTTTAGAAATCGACGTCCTCAATATTTAGCTTATTTATTACATTACGTTCAGATAGTTTTAATTCTATACTTTTAATGTAAGTCTTAATTTTATCTTTTTTGTTAATGGACATAATTTATTTTATTCTTTTTGACCAAACCTTTTTACTCTATAGCTAGTCCATACTCCCTCTCCATTAATGTCTAATATAAATATGTACATTTTTAATCACTTTTTGGTTTTAGTCCTTTTCCTATTTTGTTTTTAATACAAGATACAATTTAATTTTCAATACAAAATTAAAGATATGTAGTAAATTTAAATAGTGACACACTGCTAATTGATCTTCAAGATACTTATAAAGTATTATTAATTAAAAGTATTTTTTTTTACAAATAATTTAAAAGTAGTTTTACAGTTCTATTTTCTTTTCAGTTTTATTTTTTCTTTTTTAATTTTAGTTCAGGATACTGTATAAGGTAATATTTAAAATATGTTAAGTATTAAATGTGTACATTTCTATTTTACTTTTGGTTTTAGTCTTGTTCTATTTTATTTTTAATACAAGATACAATTTAATTTAATACAAAATTAAAGATAAAATGTAGTAAATTTAATAGTGACGCACTGCTAATTTATTTTCTAGATATTTGTAAAGTATTATTTATTAAAAGTATTTTACAAATAATTTAAAAGTAATTTTATAGCTTTATTCTTTTCTTTTTTCAGTTTTATTTTCCAGTTTAATTTTAGTTCAGGACACTGTATAATATCAATTACAAGTCATAATAAAATTTAATCTATGTATATTCTATTTCCCAGTTACTCCTAAGACTTAAATTGTAAATTGTAACATTGCCAATATGACCCTTCCATAATCAAAACTTACTTAATCGGGCATGGGCTTTTATCTGTCCCTTTTACTTCCCATGGGCGTTTAAGTGAGTGGCTTTGCCACTTACGCGCACAGGTAACTGCGGCCTGCCCAAAAATCGTGGATGGTCCTCTTAATTATTTTCCCATTTTTTATCCCAGTTTGATGGGTTTTTTAAGAGAACCAAGCGTTGCTCTATTGTATATATAACTTTTGCTATATGTACGACGTTTAGGGCTAGTGCGCTTAATATCACGTATCACGTAAATAAAAGAAATCGTGGAATTATCATTATAGAATCATTTATTTTTAGAGAAGTGGTGCCGTTTTCACACGGAAAAGATACTTGGGAAAAATTTGATGCAATGTAAGTTATTAAAAATATAAGATCATGGACCATTAGAATTATAAGGGTAAAAAATAAAAAAATTATATTTGTATGTAATGTATAAAATTAAAGAAAATAGAGAAAAATTGGAATGGATAGAAGGCAAAAGGTAAGAGATGAAAAAAGAGAAATTTAAACGTAATATGTTTTGAAAAGGGATCTTTTTAATATTCCTGACAAAAGATACAGATAGATTCTTTTTAATATTCATGTTTAAAAAATTTACATATCACAAAACATAACCTATTTTTCTCCATAAAATCTTATATTAATTTTCTTATTTTATTTCGCCATATAAATTCACAATTAACATTAAGATAGATAGATAGATAGATAGATAGATAGATAGATAGATAAAAAATAACACAAAAATGAAATAAGTAAAGAATATATTTTACATATAAATGTAACTCGATAGAATTTCATTACTAATTTTATATTCTTTTTTAATTTGTAGGATGGATTAACATTCATGGTAGTGAAGAAGAAGGTAGCGAAAATGAAATTATGAAAATAAATTTCCTGAAATAAAATCCCAATCTAAAATTTTAGATGGAATTTTTTTAAATAATATGTCAAAAAAGACAATGTGCATGTTAATAATAAAGGGTTCAACAAACTCATTTAAAAATTTTGTTAAACATATTAAAATATATTATTTTTTTAAATCATAGATGTCATTTAGGCATTCAATATAAGTTATATCTAAAAGAGCAGAGAAGAAAACAAACAAATCCACCACCATAAAAAGATGATTCAACCCAGTATATCAGCTTCATTTAATGCCATTAAATAAAACCAATAAACAATAAAATTGATAAGTTGATATCTCCATTTATTGTCAGGGGTTTACACCCT